GTAGTGAGTGCAATATCTACAGTATGGTTCATGCATGTCGCTTTGCGGCGAACCTAAGGACACCTTAGTAAATAACTAGTGTTTCGTTGGGCTGTAACGGCTAACGAGCCATTCCCGCAGATCTTTACTTCTGACTATCAAGATGCATTAAAGACTGTTAGTTTGGATTTTTGGTTTAAGCAATTCAAACTTTGTAAATTCCTGTATGCCACTTTGTCGTTGTGTAATAGTTAACGAGTCAGTCACACAGATCAGTATTACAAAATAGGGAGATCGAAACTTATTGGTGCTTCCTACTTGTGTCTTTGTGCCGAAACTAAGACCAGACTGAAAAAAAAAATGTTACGCAACTTGTATTAGTGTAATGGTTAACAAACCTATTTCGCAGACTATTATTAGGTTGGTGCAAAAATAATGACGTAATAATGTCGTTTTTTGACGTTAAAAAATACGTCACAAAACGACATTATTACGTCATTATTTTTGCACCAGCCTAATACTAATACGAAAAGACTTCAGTGCACACTGCAAGTTTCAGGTAACTTCACCAACAAAGGAATTCATGGTAGTCGTAAATTATTTAAATTCCATAATATATGATAACGATCAATAGTTTCGTAATTCATTTGGGCCTTAGAAACACCGCACTTACTGCAGCTGTAGCAACCGCAGGTGCGTCTAGAGCAAGACGCACCTACATTTTTTAGGTTTGTGTCGAATTTCTTTTCTTTTTTCTAGACTGCCAACCAAAGCATGGATGCCCACTGCCGTGTCATTTAAATCCTAAATGGAAGAAGATGGATCCAAAACTTTTTTCTAATGGAACCAAAAGCGAAATAAACGAAAGAGCATCGAACTGAGTTTGAACTCGGAACGCTGCTTTAACTCTACATGCAATAAATGTCACGCCTCGCGCACATACAGTTTAATTTCACTTTGCATCATCGATATTTTCAGCTCGCTTACAACCTGGACATTTCATAACATTAAAAAATCGAAATATTTTTGTTCATGTCACTCATTTCATTTTTAATAAAATAATCCCAACAGGTAAACAACGAACAAATCACCCGAACAAATCAAACCCAGGTGCATCTGCAGAATAAAGAAAGAATATCCCTAAAACGGAAATTGCGTGCAGAACAATGTAATATACAAAGCCACTAGAAAATCAGCAGCATAGGAGTAACAGAAGGACCCTGAAACAAAGAAGCTACGCACAAAAACATCACAACGGAACGCAAATTACAGTTACAATATCATGTCTTTGTAATTTACCCCTGAAAATGATCATAAAAAAGTCGAAATTATTTGGCTTAAAAAAACCTTCCTTGATGAATTTCATCTCACTATCATAAAAAAATAATTAGACAAAATGAAATGATCAGTATAAGAATAAGTAGGCACAATATACCTATATTATTCAACAAAACATGTTTAAAAAGTAAATTATGCTATATATATATATATATATATATATATATATATATATATATATATATATATATATATGTTTCATGTTTTACGTTCTTTTAGATACACATATGTAAGTAAATGCACTCTTTATAATAAACAGTATTAACGACATTTATCGCAAGAATACAGTCAGTACTACGACAGCAGTACACGAGAAAATAAAAAGCAGGTGTTACCTACGGTTTAGCGTACCTTACTTTGAACGCATATAAACACAGTGGCAGTAAACAAGAGGGGAGAGAGAAAGTCTACGAAGTTGAAGAGTGCATATATATATATATATATATATATATATAAGTATAAAAAGAGGTAAATGATAACACACATCAATTATAATATACACACTTAAACACACTATACTCACCCACTCCCTAAGAACTAAATAACACACACTTAACAGAGACACACCCCCTTGCCAGGAATCAATAAAACAGTCAAAATAACCAAGGGAATTCAGAGCAGCATGAATACCTCCAGCTCTTATCTTTAATAACAGCTTAAAAGAGACTGTTTGACCAACGCAAGCACTGACCAAAATTTACGTTAAAAAATTAAAAACAAAAGAAAACTACAGATAAATTAATTTTTTCATCAAGTCATTCATTCCTGTAGTTTTTTCTCCTGATAATGGCAGTGCTGGCTGGCACTAGTCGAGGAATCTAATTGAAATAATAAAACGAAAAAAATATCAATATACAACCCAGTGTGTCTTTTTCGTTGTTTCAAAGCTCATCAATATGGCTAGCCATTCGTTCGCTTCAAGCCGGAACCGAAACCCGATCGATCTGGTCGCAGACGGAGATTCTTACCCCATAGGATATTGACGCGACAGGCAGAGAGAAAGGAAGTTTTTTGCGTATTTATTTTTTCATGAACACGCGAGTGACCTATAGAACTCAATCCGTTCGGAGAGTCTTGCATTATGAGCAGTTATAGTCACTGTTTACAAATTCGAGTTTTCTCCCCACAGAGCTCGACCGAAATAATTTTTCCGGGAGTTAATATCTCTTTCTCTCTCTCTCTCTCTCTCTCTCTCTCTCTCATATATATATATATATATATATATATATATATATATATATATATATATATATATATATATATATAAACAATTATTTAATTCATCTCTTTAAAAAAATGTTAAATTTTAATCCCCACCTCCACCTTTTGAGGCCTTCCTGTTCTTCTTCTTCTATTACACCCCTCTCTCTAGAGCTTTCATACATTTCCTTCCCACACTTGTTTCCCACTCCCACACATACACTCTCACTAAAATATTATTTTTTATACCCGGAGTTATATTTTCTGATTTCTTTTTGAATTTGTATGTCTGATGAATTGGATCGTGATTACGATTCCAATTAATAAATTATAACCATGGAATATTAGAGTTTGGGCCCTTTTTATTATAACCTTACTCTATCCTGGGCATTGAGTTCTACATGGATTTTATCCTCTTGGGTATCTATCTATCTATCTATCTGATACATATATATATATATATATATATATATATATATATATATATTGACCACTAATATTATATATATTAGGAAATGGTTTATGAAAAACTAGGTAATCCGTATGGGTAAACCTAAGGAGGATAAAATCCAGAGAGCTCAATGTAATTCCAGAGCAAATAATTTAAATAAGAACAGACCACTTTAAGGTTCCATGTAATAAATTATTTCACCACAGCCCTTTTAAAAGGACTGCGGATCATCAGACTTTACTTCCAAACAAAAAAGGTAAAGAAAATTTACACATTTTGACGGGCCGTATTAAACATATATGTAAATTAACGAAGTGAGGAAGTGAGGGGAGAGAGAGAAGACATGAGTGAGTTAGCAGATATTGACACATTTAAACGGTTAACTTAACGGAAGTTATATATTGATATCGAAGGGGGAGAGAAGAAAAAACACATAGAGAGAAAAAGAGAGAAGGAAGTTAAGAGAGAAAAGGAAAGATGTCACTAATTTTCTTTGTAAAAAAAGGCTAGAAACAGACACTGTTATTTTGTTTTACTTTGAAAGTGTTATTTTGGGGGTTCATAAAGATTATAATGTTTGATATAAATTTGAATGTCTCTAGACTGTCTACAAATAGTCGATTAGATATATATATAAGAAATATAATCTTAAGATGTGCTATATTTATGGGATAAAGTGCTCAATATCAGAGATAGAGCGTGTGTAAATATAAAAGTGAACATTGAAGTCAACATTTAGAAGCGATAGTCTGTTAGATGAAACATACTGTCCCTTGACGTGGCCTGACGATTGCATCTAGCATGAAACAGACTGTCGCCCCTAAGTGTGGACTTCAATGTTCAATCTTATATATATATATATATATATATATATATATATATATATATATATATATATATGAATGGATTCCTAAATGTTAATAATACGACACGATAAAATTAGGAAAAAGTATTCACGAGTCCGCCATTCATTTGCAACAGCGAAATTCTACGTCACTCGTAGTGGAATCAAATATGACATCTTTAAATAATCAGTGGTTATCTCCCTTGAAAACTCTCGCTCCCTTCGTCGAATTACTCGATATGAATGTTTAGTTTTTTTACGGATGATCTAATTCACCGAACGCGCATATTAACAACTTCATTAATGCAGAATCGATAATCGGGGTTAATTCGATTAATTCTCTCGCCATTGATTGAAAGATCGATGGGAAATCTCTATGTCATCGAACTTTTCAATTCTGAAGGCGAGCATTGATTTTCGTAGCTTGTCTTGTTGATTTATTTGGCTTTCCTCGATTTGTTTGAGGCAAATATTAAAATAACGACAAAACTGACGCCCCTGCAAGTAAACTTTGTTAGATGATTAAAAACCAAAGATGGGTGTTTGGTGTAGAAAATAAAATAGAGGAAAAGAAACAAGAAAATAAGGAAACAAAGTAAAAATGAAGGAAAAGAAAGGTTAAAGAAAAAAGAAAAAAAAAGAAAGAGTAAAGAAAAAAGAAAGAAAGAAAGAAAGGGTAAAGAAAAAAGAAAGAAAGAAAGAAAAAAAGAAAAAAAAAAAAAAGAATGAAAGGTAAAAGAAAAAAATTCTTTTAGAGAAAGGGTAAAGAAAAAAGAAAAAGAAAGAAAGAAAGAGTAAAGAAAAAAGAAAGTGTAAAGAAAAAAGGGTAAAGGAAAATAAAAGAAAGAACGAAAGAGTAAAGAAAGAAGAAAGGGTAAAGAAAAAAAGAAAGGGTAAAGAAAAAAGAAAGAAAGAAAGAGTAAAGTAAAAAAGAAAGAAATGGTAAAGAATAAAGAATAACGGGTAAAGAAAAACGAAAGAAAGAAAGGGTAAAGAAAAAAAAGAAAGGGTAAAGAAAAAAGAAAGAAAGAAAGAGTAAAGAAAAAAGATAGAAAATGTAAAGAATAAAGAAATAATGGGTAAAGGAAAAAGAAAGAAAGAAAGAGTAAAGAAAAAAGAAAGAAAGAATGGGTAAAGAAAAAAGGAAGAAGAAAGAAAGGGTAAAGAAAAAAGAAAGAAAGGATAAAG